AAGGACAAAAACCCGACACGGACTCTTCAGGACAAATGCAGGAAAAGTGTCGGCACCTTGTTGAGGGTGTTGACACCTTGCAGCTCGTGCTGCATTTCTTTCAACTCATGCTCGTCCTCTGCACCTTGTGTTCAAGTTCTGCACTTCATGCTCAGCCTCTGTAGCTCGTGGCTGACCTTGGCAGTAAGTGTTTGACCTCTGCAGCTTGTGCTTGACCTCTGCAGCTTGTGCTTGAGCTCTGCAGCTTGTGCTTGAGCTCTACAGCTTGTGTTTGAGCTTTGTAGCTCATTCTCAACCCCTGCACTTCGTGCTCGACCTCTACAGCTCGTGTTTGAGCTCTATAGCTTGTGTTTGAGCTCTGTAGCTTGTGTTTGAGCTCTGCAGTTTGTGGTTGAGCTATGTAGCTCGTGCTTCAGCATCCTGAACCTTGGACTTCTGCATTTCGCAGCTCGTGATTCAGCAATTATCATTTCAGACTTCTACAGTTCGCAGCTCGTACACGAGCAAGATGCTTGCAGCTCGTGCTCCAGCATTTCGCAGCTCGTGCTTAAGCAAGATGCTTGCAGCTCCTCATTGCCGAGCTTGAGTAATGGAGCCCAGCCATAGTCAGCCTAGCCATAGCTGCTTAGTCTTCTTCTGTCATTGGAACCACAGGCTCTTGTTTCCTAGCAGCTGATTGGATTCTTACTTAAGTGACTTTAGGCTACGAAAGAAAGGATGACAATATTGCTAAAGCTTCTTCCCCAATTGCCTGAAAGTACTTACTTTCTAACCAGCTACGTACCTTCAAAATCAATTTCCATTAATTACATATATGTAAAGTAGAAACCAAAATGCAAAGTTATAAAGGCAAAAAACCAAATCTAGAATCGAATCCTGTGGAAGGAGAACAGTAAAATCCAAAAAGCTAAAAAGACTTTTGAGTAGGTTTTCAGAGGGTTGCAAAAATGTAGTAGATTCTACTTCTTGAGATATGGTGAAACTTGTGCAGATGGTTGCAGAAAATGAAAGAGATTTTATTCAAAAATGATGCAATCTTAGAAAATATGGAGTAATGGAGAAAAGAATGAAGGCAGTGAAAGTAGTGGATGCTGGAAAAACAGTTGTTTGTGTAGTGAAATTAAGCAGTTGGTTTGCTGAGAAAGGCTAAATGGTGCTGGACTGTCTTGCTTCTGCCGAGCTGGTGCACTGCTTTGAGCTTTGCCGCTGCCGAGCTGGACTGCTTTGTTGCTGCCGAACTGGACCGTTTGGTTGCTGTCGAGTTAGGCTGTTGTGCTGCTGCCAAGCTGGTGTGCTACTTTGGGCTTTGGCACTGCCGAGCTGGACTACTTTGTTGCTACCGAGCTGGACCGTTTGGTTGCTGTCGAGCTAGGCTGTTGTGCTGCTGCCAAGCTGAACTGCTTTGTTGCTGCTGCCAAGCTGAACTGCTTTGTTGCTGCTGTGCTTGGCCGCTTTGCTGCTACCGAGCTGGGCTGCTCTGCTGCTGCCGAGCTGGAGCATTGCTTTGAACTTTACGGCTGCCGAGCTGGGTTGCTCTACTGCTGCCGAGCTGAACTGCCTCACTTCTGCCGAGCTGGAGCATTATTTTGAGCTTTGCTGCTGAGCTGGGTTGTTGTGCTGTTGCTGAGCTGAGATGTTCTGCTGCTGCCATCAAGCTCGAACTCAGCTTCTCATTGAGGGCAATAACACGCCTTTTGGCTGAGAGGTGAGGCTGCAGTTGGAGTCCAGTAGGCAGAATTCCCCAGCTAAAACCGGAGCTACAGTTGGGGAAGTTGCCGGCGGGAATTTGGAGAAGAAGCTCAC